CCATGTCTGTCTCACACCACCAGTCTAGGAGGTTCCTGGGGGCAAGGATCCCTGGTCCAGATCATTTCTGTGTACAAAACTGTGCTCAAGCAGAGAAATGGCTATGGACTGAATTGAGGTTGTGTGGGCACATTGTGAGTAAACGGTGAATCAGCTGGTGTCCCTAGAAGACCAGGGCAAGTTGGGCAGAGGAGCAGGGCCAGGTTGATCTCACCTGCTGGTCACCAGGCAATATTTCTAGAGAAAGAAAAAAAGAGAATAGAGATGAGGCAGATGGGGGGGGCGGCACTTGGGGCTTCTGAAGATGGAGTAGACAACTAGAAATCTTAGTGTGGGATCAGGAAAAATTTAAAAATCCAAAAGAATCCTAGAACTCAAAGCCACCCCTAGCCCTTTACCTCTATGTGGAATAAAAAAACCGGGGGGGGGGGGGCGGGAAAGGTACCCTCTCCCCATGAAACTCTACCTGGTAAAAAATTGTCCTAATAAATATACACACCTACAATATCTATGATATGAATGATGCCCACCTAATACTGCATATTTTGCAGTGCCCAACCTAAACAACTATATAGCAGTCCTGAGACCCACCCCTCCTCAATGTGTGACCCCAGCTCCTCCCAGCCCACTCTAGGCATCAGGTTCATTGTCTGACAATGGGTTGAGGTCTCTGGGCCTGAGCTGTGGCTGAGGGGTGGGAGGGCAGGTCATCTGGTGCTCACCATGAGGAATTCAGTCTGTGACTTGTCGGCTACCTCCTCCAACACCTTTTCCATCTGCTGCAGCTGCTCCAGACAAGAGTTCAGGCCCCTCAGCTTCCACCGCAAGGCGACCCCTGCCTTATTCTGCACACGTTCTGCCTCGCGATCCAAAGAGCCCTCCAGTGCATCTAGAAACACCCGCATCTTGCCCAGCTGCTCCTTTATAGCCCCCCGGAACTTAAGTACTGTCTCCTGTGGGGAGCAGGAGGAAGGTGACAAACAGGTGAAAGCACTTGGCTAGGGAGATCCTGACAGCACCCCCAGCCACCAGGCTCCACCACACTGAGCCCCTCACCTCCACCTCCACAAGCTGATGCTTCAGCACCGCCACGCTCCTCTCCTTGTGCGTGCATGCTTCCTGCAGCTGCAGCTTCTGCTGAGGCAGCTGTGTCTGGGGGGCAGAGCATGGAGAAGTGATTCGGATGCCACCCCCCAACCAACACTTCCCGCCCTAAAGCTACCCTCTGTAGCTTGGCCTCAATGCCAGCTCCTCTTCTGGCCATCTTCCATCCCCAAACCCACCTGCACACTTCCAGGCCCTGGCCAGTACCTCTCCTGAGCCTCTGTGCCTTCCCTGCCATTGTCCCTTTT